AAAGCTACAGCTACCCATTTAATACTGGTATCTATTCAACACAGCTACAGGTACCCAGTTAATATTGGTTTCTATTCAACACAGCTACAGGTACCCATTTAATACTGGTGTCTATTCAACATGGTTACAGGCCAACCAGTACATCTAGTTAATACAAGTTTTGACTGCTCTGTTGATGACTGCACAGATATGTGTAAATATGTGTGTATATATATATATGTATAAGGATATATATATGTATAAGGATGTATATACAGTGCACCAGTTCATTATCACATTAGTTTAATCATATATCGATGGACTTGCTTAATTTGAATTCAGCCAAGAACTGCACTACTATCCTTGAAATGGACTTCTTTTTATGTTTTGTGAGGACTCTGTCTAGCGAAAGAGAAGCTCCTCATTTTGGACCAAGGCCATTCCCAGCCTACAATATCGACAATTCCACTGAGAGCAGGAAGTGCAGCAGGTCCTGTGAAGAGGAACTCAGGTATCGGCAAGTTCCAGACCCATACGCTAACATTCTGCATTTATATAGCAGTTATTGATATTTCTACCCTGGCAGAAAGACTCCGACTATCCATTCTATCTATGCCCCTCATAATTTTGGAAACCTCTATCAGGTTGCCCCTCAGCCTCGCGTTCATGTGAAAACAAGCTGGTTTTGTCAAATCTCTCCACATAGCTAATGCCCTTCCAACCAAGCAACATCCAGGTAAACCCTTTTTGTACCATCATCAAAGCCTCCACATCCTTCTGGTAATGTGATGACCAGAACAGTACACAATATTCCAAATATGGCTTGACTAAAGTTATTTTTTCAATAGAATAGAATCCTACAGTGTGGAAGCAGACCCTTCATCCCGAAGAGTCCACTCCAGCCTTCTGAAGAGCATCCCATCCATACCCTATCCTTGTAACCCTGCATTTCCCATGGCTAACCCATCTAGCCCGCACACTATGGGTGATTTAACATGGCCAATCCGTCTGCACATCTTTGGACTGCGGGATGAGACCGAAGCACCCGGAGGAAACCCATGCAGACACGGGGAGAATGTGCAAACTCCACACAGACAGTCACCCGAGGCCAAAATCAAACCTGGGTCCCTGGCACTGTGAGGCAGCAGTGCTGACCACTGAGCTACCATGCCACCCTATACAGTTATAACATGACTTGCCAATTTTTATTCTCTACGCCCCAATTAATGAAGGCAAGCATGTTATATGCCTTCTTGACCACCTTATCCACTTGTGTCACTACTTTCAGGGAACTGTGGATCTATATGCTTAGATCCCTCTCTATGTTCTGCCTTTTACTGTATGAGATGCATTAGATCTTGCAAAATTCATCACCTTGCGTTTATCCGGATTAAACTCCATCTGCATTTCTCCACCCAAGTCTCCAGCTTATCTATATCCTGCTCTAATCACTGACAATCTTTCTGTCTGTTCCCGGTTCCTTCAATCATTGTGTCATCCATAAACTTACTAATCATGTCACCTACATTCTCCTCCTAAGTATTTATCTATATTACAAACAACAGGGGTCCCAGCACTGATCCTTCCAGGACACCACTGGTCACTGATCTCCAGTCAGAAAAACACTCTTTCACTGTGCCTAAGCTAGTTCTGTATCTATCTTACCAGCTCACTGCAGATCCCATGTCACTTCACCTTCTGAATCAGCCTGCCATGAGGGACCTTGTCAAAGGCCTTGCTAAAGTCCATACAGACAACAGCTACCACCCTGGTCTCATCAATCATCATCATCACTTCCTCAAAAAACTCAAAGTTTTGAGACACGATTTTCCCCGCACAAAGCCATACTATTGAGTCCCTATTTTTCTAAATGTGAATAAATCCTGTCCCTAAGAATCTTCTCCAATTATTGCCCTACCATTAATGTAAGGCTCACCGGCCTGTAATTTCCCACACTATCACTGCTGCACTTCTTAAAGGAACAAAGCTGGCTATTATCCAGTCCTCAGGAACCTCACCTGTGATTAAAGAAGATACATACATTTTGCACAAGGACTCAACAATTTCCTCCCTCAACTCCCTCAGTATTCTGGGAAAAATCCCACCAGGTCAAGGGGACTTCTCTACCTTAATGCTTTTCAAAACATCCAACACCATATTTATATTGACATTCTGGAATGTCAATTTACCCCTCCCAAGACTCACCATCCACCATGGATATAAATGCAGAACTTTAATTAAAGACCTTACCTACTCTCTCCAGCTCCACGTATCCATTTCTTCCTTTGTCCTTGAATCGATCTACCCTTTCCCTAGCTGCCTCCTTGCTCCATATGCATGTATAATAAAACCTTGGGATCTACCTTAACCTTGTTTGCCAAAGTCATTTCATAGCCCATTTTAGCCCTCCTAATTCTTTGTTTGAGTTCTTTCCTGCTTTCTTTATATTCTTCAATGATTCTTTCAGTCTTTAGTTTCCTAAACTTTACATATGTCTTCTTTTCTTTTCTGACTAAGCTCACAGTTTTCAACATTCCTGAATCTTACCATCCTTACCCTTCATTTTTACAAGAATGAGCTGGTCCTAAACTCGAATTAACCAGCCTTTAAAAGATTCCCCTATAGCTGTAGATCTACCCTCTCAGGTGAAAATACTAAACTGGGGGAAGGCTAACTTTAAGACTAACAATATTAGGCAGGAACTGGAGAATGTAGATTGGGGTGTGACTGTTTGAGGGTAGATCTGCTGCCTTTGTCCTTCTAGATGGCAGTGTTCATGGGTTTGGAAGCTGTTCCTGGAGAATTGGCAAATCTCTGCAGTGTGTCTTGTTACATTCTGCTGATGCTGAGCATCATTAGCAGAGGAAGTGAATCTTTGTGGACGTGGTGCCAATTAAGCGGGCTGCTTTGTCCTGGATGGTATCAAGCATTTTGAGTGCTGTTGGAGCGGCATTCATCCAGGCAAGTGGGGAGGGTCCTATATACACTCGTGGCTTGTAGATGGTTGTCAGGAGAATCAGAAGGTAAGTTACTCCCTGCAGTTCCCAGCATCTGACCTGCCCTTGTAGCCACTGTATTTATATGGAAAGCCTAATTCAGTTTCTAGCGAATGGTAACACTTAGGATGTTAATAATAAGGATTCTGTGGTAACAATGTCAAGGGCCTGTGGATGGTCCAAAAGGAAATATGCTGTCTCGATAATGATGTATATTATACTATTCTGTAAATGTAAATGAAATTCTATAACAGTCTGTAAATTGTCCCCAAGGAACATGGAGAAATGAAGGAACTATTTACTGCCCAGACACTCACGCAAAAACATAGTTTCATACATGCCTAGATGCACATACAATAGCGCACATACAATAGACGCACGTACTGCGTGCACATGTATGCAGTCTCAACCACATGCTCAATGTCACCCATGTGTGGGCAGATTGAAACTTTTATATCTGTGGAGTTAAGATTATACAGCCCATGAAATTTCCGTTAGTTGATATGTCAGTAACCAGGGTCACAATTTCAAGACTGTCAGCAAGCGAGCTTGGAGTAAAATGAGGAGAAACTTCTTTACACAGAAAGTTGTTAGGATTCGGAATGTGCTGACTGGGAGAATGGTGGAAGCGGATTCCATTGGAGGTTTGAAAAGAGAGCTGGATATATATTTGGAAGTGATCAATTGAGAGGGCTATGGAGATACGGCTGGACAGTGGGACTTGCTGGGTAGCTCTTTCAGGAGCTGGTACAGATATGATGGGTCAAAAGGCCTCCTTCTGTACTGTGAGGTTCTGTGATTCTGTTTGTTGTTTCTGAAACTTTCAATGCTTGAACAATTTTAACCATCTCAATGCATCAAAAAAAAAACAAAAGATGTCCACAGACACACAGCTTCCTAATACTGGTAGGCTGTAAAACTGACCATGATTCCCAACTTGGAGATAGTAGGAACTGCCAATGCTGGACTCTGAGATGACAAGGTGTAGAGCTGGATGAACACGGCAGGCCAGGCAGCATCAGAGGAGCAGGAAAGCTGACGTTTCGGGTCTGGACCCTTCTTCAGAAAATGCCTCCTGATTCGCGGAAAGAAATCCCCAGATACACAGGAAGTAAAGTTCGAACTTCACTCTGTTTTCAAAACACTTTTCAGAATTTGGAGATAGTAGGAACTGCCGATGCTGGAGAATCTGCAATAACAAGGTGTAGACGTGGATGAACACAGCAGGCCAGGCAGCATCAGAGGAGCAGCAAAGCTGACGTTTCAGGCCTGGAATTGTTCTGACTTGTTCAGCTTGCAGATGGGCAGGTGATGTTAAAATTGACCACTGTATGTTGGATAACTTTCCTTTGAAATCTCTCATTGTATGACAAAGAATTCCTTTTAGCCATGGAACAAGATTGGCAAATTTCTGAAAAGTAATTCCCAACGGCATTACATGTGACACCTCTCCCCAATTGTGGTCGAAAGTAAAACATGGTCATTCTTCCTAAAGTGTAGCCAGGTCATATAATGCTGTCAGAAACATACAATCATTGAATATACTCACCACCACCTTCGATTTGTATTTCAGAATGACCCTATTTCTGAGATGAAAGCATATACAAAAGTGAGGGAGAAAGCCCATTCTATCCACAGAGATTCCTGAAATGAATGATATCCAAAGATGTCATGTAACATTTATTGACTTATGGAATATGAAGTGTATTTGATGTGTATTGCAATGGAATAAAACATATCACACTAACAGAAATTCTTATCATTTTTTATTTACATATGACATACATTGCAGAAACAGGTTATTCAGCCTCAACAAACTTTATTTCTGGTTTATGTGAGCTTCCTAACTTCATCTCACTTTAGCGATAGGCCCTTCTTTTCTTCCTCAAATAGCTTTCCCTTGTTTTTACAGATCTCTTCAAGATTAGCAAATTCCACTTTTAATCACTCTTGAAAAAGGTTTCCCTTGAAAGTTTTGGACTCTTACACCAAAAGATAGACACAATCTCTGTCACAATCATAACTGATTAGTGGCTTGTGATATTATGTCAGTGTCTCGCTGATTGTGGCCTCCAACTTGCTAACTGTAATTGACAGTGTGATGTGACAGTTGATCATGATACTATAGCCCCCCAAAAAATATGAAGGGTCTAAAGGGGATTACAATGGTTTGAGAGCTATGAAACATCTCTGTCGTGGATCGCCTCTATGAGTATACCCTGGTATCTTTTTGTGATGTCTCCCTCCAGCACCTACATACTGTACAATTGCAATATTTCTGCAGGCAGACAGCTTCATTAAGCTAATACCTGCCATTGTGCTTTCTCAAACTCTGTTCAATATCTCTCAGCTGCATCAACCAAATAACGTTGGCAGGTTTCCTTCAAATACTCCCCTCACTCTCATTTACACTGAACTTTGATGGCTCACAGCCTTCTATGAAGTGACAACATCCCTGCCTCATCTTCCGCCCCCGTGTCTTCCTCCCCCCACCCCACCCACCCACACACACACGCACACACAGACACACACGCACACACGGACACACACACACACTGACGCACACACACACACACACACACGCACATGCACACATACACCCAGGCACACACAGACACACACACACACACACACAGACGCACACACACAAACACACACACGCACACAGATGCACACGCACACATACACCCAGGCACACACACACACACGCACAGACGCACATACACACATACACCCAGGCACACACAGACACACACACACAGACGAGCACACAGACACACACGCACACATACACCCAGGCACACACAGACACACACAACAAACAGATGCGCGCGCGCGCGCACACATACACACACACACACACACGCACACATACACCCGGGCACACACAGACACACACAGACACACACACACACAGACGCACACGCACACACACATGCACTCTCACAAAAGGCTCTCAGGGCTTTTCAACAGCTTTATCTGCTCAGAGCAGACGACAACAGAAGCCTCAGAGCCTCTAGTTCCTGCTACCCGTTGCTTGACACAATCTGACTCTGACCTTTGAACTGCTGACCACCGATCCTTGAACTTATTTGGATCACCCAGCTCTGGGAGCTCTACTGTGAATCTTGTAGCAGCTCTTGTCTTACGACTAGGCAGAATCAAATATAACCAACATTGGAGCACCACGTTCTGTAAATGTTCCAGTTCTCCAGTTGACCGTCTCTTGGTAGGTGCCAACACAGGGGCATGGAAAAATTAGAGTCCGTCAAATGTTCACAAGATGGTCAGGGAGGATTTCCAACAAGTGAAGAGGCGACAGCCTCCACACATCTCTGCAGAGGCCTCTAAGATCATTCTCCAGTCTCCTCGGTAAAGAGTAGGATGATGGGTTCTTTTGTTTCTTCTTCTCGAATCTTGTCTGCGGTTTAGCACCCTGAAGAAGATTGTTTGCTAACGAAATTGTAGCCTGACACATTCAGGATCAGTGAATCTTTTGCTGCAGGGCTGCAGACAGCACAGTCTTCCCAACATTTCACCCGCATCCAGGACAATGGTACGTGGAAGTCTCTAGACTAGCTGCTATCTCTGGGTGAAATGACAAAAGACAAGGTTCTTCAAGTTAAGCATAGCACCTAGAGGTGATCTCTTGTCAGTCAAGTTGTATCCAACTTGGTGCTAGAAATGTATGACAGTCTGGCCGGTTGTTTGTCAAGTCCTTGGGGAAAGGAACTGTCACAAGACGAAGGGAGAGTGGGAAGAAATCCAAAACTGATGGTGAATTTCATTGCTCGATGAGAATATAAATTCTGACCAAGTGGCTTAAGTCCACTTCGGGGTTGGTAATGCATCCTGGTCAGATCAACACTGTATCTGGCAGGCAGATGTCTCAGAACCTTGTGCCTCTCAGGGATATGAACAGAGCAGTGGACATCTGCCTCGTCACATTGCGCACCTCGATAACAAACATGCTCCGTGTTTGTGTTTGGGGAGAAAATCGATAGTCAGCTGGAATTGTTCTATGTGAGCGTCAGCAGTTCAGTTTCAAGGTGTGGAAATGGGGGAAACCGCTGGCTGATCAAATCCAGAGACAGGTGTGGTTTATCTAGCCCCTTCCTCATCCCCATTTGAAATATTTGCCAAGTCTGTCAGCAGGACGTGGGCATATATGGAGCGAAAATCCCATGCAATGGAGATGGTGAGGCCAAAACCTTCCTGTACCTGGTGAACATTGCAGCTTTCTGATCAGATCCACTAGCAGGTGCACAGACCAACAAGCAGCTTTCCTCAGTTCAAGGTACCCTGGGGAGACGAAGGAAGTCACAGAGTCAGCTAGCTCCTGTCCCCTGGGCTGGTTCACCCATTTATTCTCTTCATTTGTCTGGTCAATTCAGCTGTAGGTGCTGGGGATTGTGTCAGAGAGGTTGGGAGGTATGGAAATGGGAGGAACATATAACCGAAGGTCAGTCAAAAACTCAGCTTGTAGGTGAGCTTCTGCAGTTATTGGCTGAGCCATCTTCCACTTCATGTTCTCATCAAAAGAAGGGTTGTATCCGCAGGGACATTACAGACTAATCACCAGATAACCGGAACAAAAATGGACCTATTTTCACCCTCACCCTGGTGGTCACCTTTGTGTATGGCTGCATCAAGCGCTATGTAGATGCCCCTACCCCACATCCCACTGTTCACAACAACCAATTATCACTACCTGCTGAGGTTCCATTTAGAGTTATAACGTCATAGAGTTGCACAGCACAGAAACAGACCGTTTGGTCCAACTTATCCATGCCAAGCAGGTATCCTAAATAAATCTAGTCCCATTTGCCAGCATTTGGCCCCTATCCCTTCCTATTCATGTACCCATTCAGGTGCCTTCTAAATGTTGTAATTTTACCAGCCTCTACCACTTCCTCTGGCAGCTCATTCCATACACGCATCTGTGCAAAAATGTTACCCTTTAAGTCTCTTTTAAATCTTTCCCCTCTCACCTTAAACCTGTGCCCTCCACCACTCAGGGATGGCTATTCTTCCTATCCATGATTTTATAAACCTCTATAAGGTCACCCCTCAGCCTCTGACGCTCCAGGGAAAATAGCCCCAATCTACTCAGCCTGTCCCTATAGCTCAAACCCTCCAAATCATTTGCATAAATGATGGAAAGCAGTGATCCAGGACCAATCCTTGTTGCACACCGCTAATCATAGGCCTCCAGTCTGAAAAGCAACACCCACATCCCCACCATCACCCCCTGTCTTCTATCTTCAAGCCAGTTCTGATTCCAAATGGTTAGTTCTCCTTGTATTCCATGTGATCCAACATTGCTCACCAGACTACCATTGATGTTTTGCCCATGTTTGTTTTTTGTGCAACTCTGCATTCATTTGGACCATCTCATACTGGCCCTTTTCCTTGTGAAACATTAAGGATCCAATTGAAAAGCACATTGACCACCAGCTGAACAGGCTGTGGTTCACATCACACGTAACCTTCTCAGGAAAAGGAAATGAAGGATCACGTTGGATGTTGCCAAAGCAAGCAATTAACAGCCAATCCTGGAGGTTTATACACTCAGCACGCTGCCCATTGTGGGGAGGTTGTGGTAGAGAAGAGTCACTTGTGATGGGACTGTGCCTTTAAGAGAGATTTGTTCTGCACTGTTTCTCTTGCAGAGAGATATTACAGTCGGTCAAGAGCGTTGAGCTCCCTGAGAAGGCAAAAGAAGCATGAGTGGGTGGAGTCAGGCTCACACAGGCCCAGGGTTTTAATTTTGCTTTCAGTTGGTGTTTTGGCTATTGAAGCTAATCAATGCAGCTTTCTCTCTTCTACAGCAAAAAGTTTGAGCCCTCTCTCTGTTGTTAGATTATTTCTTTCGGTATTCCTTTCCCCTGGACTGGAAGGGAGATAGCATGTGTGGAAAATCTGTTTTGCTGAATTTGCCTTTGCCAAGGGTTGTGGGATGCTGCTATATTGGAACTGTTGATGATTAGTAGTTAAATAATATATTATTTTATTACGTATTTCAACAAAGTTACGTCTTTTTTTTTGTTCGTATTTTAACGGTGTTGTAAGAATAAGGTGCATTTTGCTTAAAGCCTAGTAGTGGAACAATTGAATGACATCTGGAATGCAGCACCTCACACTTCCTTTTAAGTAAAATAAAAGTTATGGTCTAGGCTATCTCCTTGATTATATCTTGAGGGTGTTTGGTCTGGTCCATAACACTCGTGATTCTAGATTACGCAAAGCAAAGAGGGCGATGAATTTGTGGGATTCTATCTTGAATGTCATCACAAGCCGTGCTCAGTGATCAATGAACTGTTCCCAAAGGCCTACAATGAGGTTACCACTAACTCTAATGGAGGACCAGCAGCTCCTTGAAAGAAACCCTTTTCTCTGCTCGAAACCTGTTGATTTTGAACTGCTAGAAAGCCTCCTGGGCTGGTTATTGCCCACTGGCTCACTCCAAAGTTCATGGCTATGTGTTTAAGGATGCACTGAAGCTTGGAGCATTGCCTCAGAATGCTCAATGGGAAGATGTTACAGTCTATGGGCCTTACAGTGACTGGTTTGGCTGTGTAAATGCACTATAGGCACTAAGAAATTTTTGTCATGAGATGTAAATGTATATTGACAAAGTAGCCTATAATTGTAAATGTAGTGAGGCACCTCAGACACCTTGGACCGTAGTTAAAGTAACTGGGGTATATTGCATTGTGAATAATTACAAATTAGCAATGCCTTGTATCTTTATAAAGAATGAACATTTCCTCTTTGAAATAAAAGGTTCAAAGAATTTACCCTTTTAAGTGTCAATAGTCAGGCTATAGAATCATACAGCACAGAAACAGACCCTTCGGTCCAACCAGTCCACTCTGAACATAATCCCAAATTAAACTAGTCCCATCTGCCTGCTCCTGGCCCATCTCCCTCCAAACCTTTCCTATTCATGTACTTATCCAAATGTCTTCTAAAAGTAATTGTAAACACATCCACCTCTTCGTCAGGAGGTTCATTCCACACGTCATAAAAAAATTTCCCCTCATGTCTTTTTTAAATCTTTCTCCTCTCACCTTAAAAATATGCCCGCTAGTCTTAAAATCTGCCACCCTAGGGAAAAGAATGATCAAGCTTCCACCTCGTGCAATATAAAGTCTGCATTTGAGATCTAGTTTGAAAAATTGTGATGAACTTGATAATATTTGCAGCTTGATTTTTCTAAGACAGTGTAAGAGAGCGATAAACAATAAATTTTGAATGAATTCTAAGGAAGAAAACATGGATCATAACCTAATGTGCCGTTAAAATGTAATGTGAGTATAGGAGCTGGGAAGTCATGTTGAGGTTATACATAATATTGGTGAGGCCTCTTCTGGAATATCGTGTCCAGTTCTGGTTGCCCAGTTATAGGAAGGATATTTTTAAGCTGGAGAAGGTTCAGAAGAGATTTACCAGGATGCTGCTGGGTATGGAAGGTTTGAGTTATAAAGAAAGGCTGGATAGGATGGGACTTTTTCACTGGAGCGTAGGAGGTTGAGGGGCGTTCTTACAGAAGTTTATTAAATAATGATGGGTATAGATAGAGTTAATGGTAGTTGTCTTTTCCCTAGGCTGAGGAAATTTCAAGACTCGGGTGAGAGGAGAGAGATTTAAAAATGAGAAGGGGCAATGCTTTTACAAAGGAATTGGTTTGCATGTGAAACGAACTTCCTGAGGATGTGGTGGATGTCGGCACAGTTACAACATTTAAAAGGCATTTGGATGGGTACATGAATGGGAAAGGTTTGGAGGGATATGAGCCAGGAACAGGCAGGTGGGACTAGTTTAGATTGGGATTATGTTCGGCATGGACTGGTTGGACCAAAGCATCTGTATCTGCACTGTATGACTCTATGACTCCCGCCAGATCCTTTAGTAACCTCTTCCTAGTGGATGATGTCTGCGTGACACTCCATGTTCACTCATTTTGACAACATACCTGCACTGTTTGGATACTCTATGTGCAACATAAACCCCTGGCCTCATCACGCAGGATCTGTCGTGATATGATTAACAATTTCCCTCTGCTGGATTCTCTTGGTAACAAAGATAAGACAAGGAAGGAATCACAATAAATTTTAAGAATTATGACAGGGGGCATTATTGGTTGAAGCAAATAGGTTCATATTCCAGACGAGCTTTAAGTGCATTTTTTTATTCTGGAGCAGGTTAAAATGAGGCGTGCAGCAATTTGGCAGATTACATGACAAAATAAAAGTCCATAGCACCCTTCTTTATAATTGACATCCAGTGGTTTTAAGGTCATCAGTGAACTGATTCAATTCCTTGCAGATCCTTCTCTGTCTCGTGCCCTCGCATTTTTCTTGCGACGGCATCTCTTCAACCCAAGACTTTGAATCCAGAATATACTGTGTGCTGTTGTCGGGTTCAGTTGGCAGAGCGCAGTAGGGTCAGTGTGAATGGGAGGAAGGGAAACACAAAGAGAGAAGGGAACATTACTTTCAAACCATCTTATCCCATCCTAATGCCTGCCAAGGACACTTTGCAGCAAAGTCACAAGCATCGAATGCTTGGAGGTGGGTACACAATTTGTGCACAAGCAGCAAGGTTGAGATATCAGATAATCTGGCTTGTAGCCACGTTGCGACCACTGTCAAAATGCGTGGCTCTTGTGGCATCACCCAATTTCAGACGCTTAGATCTATCATATAGAGTTATAGAGCTGTACAGCGCGGAAACAGACCCTTCAGTCAAACTCATCTGTGCCGATCTTAATATAATCCAGTCTCATTTTCAAAAATAGTTATTCATTTGTGGGATGTGGGCATCGTAGGCTGGGCCCAGCATTTATTGCCCGTCCCTAGCTGCCCCTTTGAGAAGGTGGAGGTGAGCTGCCTTCTTGAACTGCTGCAGTCCACCTGCTGTGGGTTGACCCGCAATGCCATTATGGAGGCAATTCCAGGATTTTGACCCAGAGACGGTGAAGGAGCGGCGATATATTTCCGAGTCGGGATGGAGAGTGGCTTGGAGGGGAACTGGCAGGTGGTGGTGTTCCCCTATATCTGCCGCTCCCTGTCCCTCTAGACGGAAATGGTCGTGGGTTGGGAAGGTGGTTGCTTTACGTTACAACTTAGCGAGGTCATTGAAATCTCACGTACTTGTGATTTTCATCTTTGGTCTGGCCGTCCTTTCCCATGAAGAGGTAAGATTTGAGAGGCTCCAGTTTCAAAGGGCACGCCGTCTGTTTGAGGAAGTGCCGGACATCATTCACCTGAATGCCCTCGTCGCTGGCTATTTGAAAGGGAGGGGGGAAGGAATGCATGATCTTCATTAGCTTTGTGGGATAAGCCCGCGAAAATCGAGCTGAAATTAAACCGCAACTGGTTGAGTGCATTATTCACAGTGGGGCAATTGCAGAAGGTAGTCGACCAACGCTTATCGGTCTCAAACCTTCACCCTCCGCAGATGCTGCCTGACATTGTGCCTGTCCAGCATTCTCTGGGTTTCCTCTCTTTTAAAGCACCCATTGTTTTTGCTTTAAGCAGGAGACTTGCGATGAAAGCAGGAAATGCTGGAAAGACTCAGCAGGTCTGACAGCATCTCTTGAGAGAACCAGAGAGAGAGAGAAAAAAAAAGAGTTAACATTTCAAGTCCAGTTTGACTCTTCTTCAGAATTTGAATAAGTTCTGAAGAAGTGTTATAGAGAGCTCTATGGCCCAGAGAAAGGTAATTCAGCTCATTGAGTCTGTGCTGGTCAAAGTAAAACCCCTAAGTATTCTAATTCCAGAGACCCAGATAATGTTTTGGGTACAATGGTTTGAATCCTGCCACGGTAGATGGTGAAATTTGAATTCGATAATAAAAAAATTTGGAATTAAGAATCTAATGATGACCACGTATCTATTGTCGATTGTTGGGGAAAAAAACACCCCTAGGTCATTAATGTCCCTTTAGGGAAGGAAACTCCAGACCCACAGCAATGTGGTTGACTCTTAACTGCCCTCTGGGGAATTAGGGATGGGCAATAAATGCTGCCTGGCCAGTGACGCCCTCATCCCGTGAATGAATTATAAAGAAAATCCCGTTTTCCTGCACTTGGACCATAGCCTTCATAAAAGGCATTGCAAGTGCACATCTAAATACTTCTTCAATATTATGGGATCTTCTGCCTTCACTATCCATACCATCCCGAGTTCCAGATTCCCACCAGCTTCTGCTGAAAATAAATTCCTCATATCCACTCTAAACGTCCTGCCCCTTGCCTTAAATCTATGCCTCCGGTCATTGATTTCTTCACCAAAGGAGTTCTTTCCTTTCCACCCTGTCTATGCCACTCAGTTTTATACATCTCAATCATGGTCCCCTCTCAGTCTCCTGTGCTCCAAGGAAAACATCCCCAGGCTGTGCAATCTCTTTTTCATATGTAAAACTTTCCAGCCCAGGCAACATCCTGGTAAATCTCCTCTGCACCCTCTCCAGTGCAATTATCTCCCTCCTATAACATGGATTCCAGAACTGAGCACGATATTCTAGCTGCAGCCGAATCAACCCTTATACAGTTGTCACTGGATTCGAAACTATGTTATTCTTTCTCCACAGATGCTGCCTGATCTGCTGAGTTTCTCCAGCAATTTCTGCTTCTGTGTTTGGATGAGCTGATCATACAGTCATACAGCACAGAAACAGACCCTTCAATCCAAAACTAAACTAGTCCCACCTGCCTGCTCCAGGCCCATATCCCTCCAAACCTTTCCCATTCATGTATCTATCCAAATGTCTTTTAAATGCTGTAACTGTACCCACATCCACCACTTCCTCAGGAAGTATCTTCCACGTGCCTTCTGGTAAAAAATTTGCCCCTCATCTCTTTTTTTAAACCTCTCTCCTCTCCACTGTAAAAATTTGCCCCCGAGTCTTGAAATCCCCAATCCTTGGGAAAAGACACCTACCATTAGCTCTATCTATACCCCTCATTATTTAATAAACTTCTCTGAGGTCACCCCTCAACCTCCTACACTACAGTGAAAGAAGTCCCAGCCTATCCAGCCTTTCTTTATAACTCAAACCTTCCATACCCAGCAACATCCTGGTAAATCTCTTCTGAACCCTCTCCAACTTCATAATATCCTTCCTATAACTGGACGGCCAGAACTGGACACAGTACTCCAGGAGAGGCCTCACCAATGTACTGCACAACCTCAACATCACGTCCCAACTCCTGTACTCACTTTAAATTTAATGCCACATCAGGTTATGATCCATGTTTTCTTCCTTTAGAATTCATTCAGAATATATTGTTTATTGCTCTCTTGCATCATCTTAAGAAAACTCAAGTTGCAAATTTTAGCAAGTTCTTCACAATTTTTCAAATTCGATCTCAAATGCAGACTTTATATTGCACTAGGTGGAAGCTTGACCATTCTGTGTTAAAATGTCCATGAATAAGTTAGTACCAGTGATACTCTAGTCATGTTACTGCACTGTGGTCAGTGCTTTGCAAATGCAAGTTCAAATCCCACCAGGGCAACCAACAAGCTTTCAGATTCTAGAAGGAGATGGAATGGTGACCATGGCAACTATCACCAGTTGTTGTAAAACCTAGTTGGTTCACTTTAGGGGAAGGAGATATACAGGCCTCACTGGCTGTTGTGTGGGCATCGCACTGGCTCAGTGGTTAGCACTGCTACCTCATAACACCAGGGACCCAGGTTCGATCCCAGCCTTGGGTGACTGCCTGTGGGAAGTTTGCATGGAGAGCTCTGTGTCCCCCCAGTTTACCACGGGTATTGGTGGTTAGAGGGTTTTCCTGTACAGCTGTGAATGTTGTTATTATTTGCCTCATTCAATATTGTTGGTTGACATTCTGGAACCCAGCCACCGAAAATCTCCTCACACCCAACATCCATCGCTGGGATAATGGCAGCTGGAGCCACACTCAAGGTCTCCCGGTACCAACCAGAGCAAAGCAGCTAACCGGTGGTCTGTCACCCTACTCACCACCCTCCGTCACTCCATCCGTCATTAAGGGTATACAAGGCACACTCTAGGCAATGGCCTAGTGGTATTATCGCTGGACTGTCGATCCGGAGACCCGGTTAATGATCTGGAGACCCCCAATTGGAATCCAGCCATGGAAAATGGTGAAATTTGATTTCACTAAATATTCTGGAATTAATGATGACCATGAAACCATCGTCGATTGTCAGGAAAAACCCATCCAGTTCACTAATGGGAATGAATCTGCCACATTTGATAGGGTGTGGCATCAAGAATACCAAGGAAATGGCAGCATCGTGGTTCAGTGGTTAGCACTGCTGCCTCACAGCAATGGGGACCCGGGTTCAATTCCAGCCTCAGGCAACTGTCTGTGTGGACTTTGCACATTCTCCCCGCGTCTGCGTGGGTTTCCTCCCAGAGCCCAAAGATGTGCAGGTTGGGTGGATTGGCCAAGCTCAATTACTCCATAGTGTCCAGGGATGTGCAGGCCAGGTGGGTTAGCCATGGAAATGCACGGTTACAGGGATATGGTCAGAGGATGGGTCAGGGTGGAATGGTCTTCAGAGGGTCAGTGTTGACTCGATGGGACAAATGGCCTGCTTCCACAGCGTAGGGATTGTATGATACATGTGACTCTGGCCCCGCTGCACTGTGGCTGACTTCATGCAGAAAGACATTCAGCTCAAGGGGAGTTTCAAACACTGGCTTTGCCAATTCGCACAGAAGTAGCAATGCAAATAAGAATAAATTAACACATCCTTTTGGATGTCTGAAAGCATGCCGAATGAGATGAGCAGCAAAAGACGATGGCTGCTCGGAATCTGAAACAAAATCAGTAAACACTTAGTAGAAACAAATAGAGAGAGTGCTGGAGAAATCCAGCAGGTCTGGCAGCATCTGCAGAGAGAGGCACAGAGTCCACGTTTCAACTCTAGTATGACCTTTCTTCAGTACTTCAGAGTTCTTCAGACTCGTATGTCGTACTGGACTCAAAATGTTAACTCTGCTTCCCTCGCTCCCCAGATACTGCCAGAACTGCTGAGTTTCTCCAGCAATTCCCTGTGTTTCAGATTTCCAGCATCTGCCGTATTTTCCGTCTAGCAGCCACTGAGCTGGTGAGGGAACCCCCTCCTGTTTGCAATATTGCTTTGTCTGGCATTGGCCAGTTTCTTCAAATTCAGTGAGGCTACGCATGGAATATTGGAAGGCAACATCGAATCTACTGTTGTTAGAGCGGCGTTGGTTCCTTCCTGTTACTTACCAAGTTTGATCCGCTTTGTGATGGCAACTTTGTAAACTTGGAAACTCCCTATCGTATCGATTTGTAACACGTTGACAACAAATGCTGGAACAAATGGAGGAAAATGATGGTTAGAAATGCCTTTCTTCTGAAGTTTTGAAATGTGTTTAACTCTGAAATATTGGGTAGGATACAGAACAGAATTTAGTTGCTTGCCCCGGAATAGAAGATATAAAAAGTGCTGTGCAGGATAGCAAGCTTTAAACCAAGAGTCACTCAACCCTTCAAGTCTTTTCAACCATTCGATGTAACCTTTGTTGATCTGATTACTCCACATTCTCACCTACATTGATATTCATTCTCCTCTCCTTTTGGCTTATTAAGAATCTATCTGCTCCCATAGACACAAAAACGGACCCAGTTTCCACCAATTTTTGAGGAGGAGAATTTCAAAGACTTACAGCCCTCTATAAGAGCAAGAAACATCATGCTGTCCAAAAATTTAGAGATCCCCAATTTTCAGCCAGTGACCCTTAGCTCGAGACTCTCCTGCAAGAGAAAAGGTCTTTCCACAGTCCGCACTGTCAAGACAGCTTCAGGACCTTAAAACTGTTCAATCAAGTCGGCTCTTATTCGTCAAAACTCCAAGCATTTTAATAAAGGACATTTTGAAAGGCCTAGTTTACCACAGTCCCAAGTTTGTTATTCCGTAAAAAGTAGAAGAAGTCTGATCCTTTAGTGTTGGAGAATTAGAAAGACAAACAACAAGTTAGTGGGAAAAGGTTAGTTGCATTCCTTGAGCAAACTTTGAGTCCAGTGCATTATTAAGGAAAATAAAGCAACAAATGATGTAAACAGCCAATCTTTAGAGAGCAAAAGAAGTTGTAAAGCATTAAAACAATTGCAGCTTAAGCATAGATTCTTATATCAAAGGGAAGAGTGATGTGGAGGTTCCAGTGTTGGACTGGGGTGGACAAGGTCAGAAATCACACAACACCAGGTTTTAGAGTGACACAGATAGATTACAAAATATAGATTGAAGATGTGGTTACGTCCTGAGTCATTTGTGGAGTCTAAAATTTGTCAGCTGCGTTACAGAATTGTAGTAACATTACATTTTGAGGACTTTACAGCAAATGGTAGAAATTAATATCCTTCCTAATCTTCCACACTATTTTTTTGAAACTCCAGTGGATACAAGGCAAGCCCGTCCAAACCTTTCCCCATTGGACAACCCGTTCATTCCGAGGGAAGTTGGTCCTTCATGGTGGCAGGCTGAAAACCCTGGAACTCCCCTCCTGATGGGCACCATGAGTGTAACTACACCACACAAACTGGTTCAAGAAGGTGGCTCATCATTACCTTCTCATGGACGGTGAATGCCAGCCTTCTGAGCTGGCCCCATACATTTAATTCAAAGAAAAGCTTAATTTTTCTTGAATAAGTGCTGCTGGAGATATTAGAGAAAATTTTGAATGTTTAAAACGGATATGTTCAGTGCAATTCATATCTGATTGTCTTATGGCCAATTACTTTATCTTCATTTGGGGGCAAAATGCGTTAGATTCAATTCAGAGAATGAAGGCTCACTTAGTAATGTATTAGTGAATCGTTGAAAAGTGCCTGCATTTGACAATGGAAGCTCACTTTCCACTAACTTTGTTTTGTTTTTATAATTGAGGAGGTGACAAGATTTGGGCAGTGCAGTGAATGCGGTCTATATAGACTTTTAGACAGGCGTGTAGACTCTGTTCTACTCGGCAAACTTCAAAAAAATTAAAAGGTCCTTCAGCTCCAAGGAACAGTGACAAACTGAATCCCAAATTGAATTAGTGATAGGGAACAAGCAGTAATGGTTGCCAGTAATTTTTTGCCACTGGAAGGCTGTTTCCAGGCTCAGCTCTCAATCCCTCGCTGTTGGTAGGATATACCAGCATTTTCGGGGGCCGGTTAGCTTTGTTGGCTAGATGTTTGTTTTGTATTGCAGAATGCGACCAAGAGCCTGGGTTTGATTTCCATTCTGGTTGAGGTAGACTGGGAGCTTGCCTCCTCATGCCGTTGCTTCCAATGGCAAATTATTACTGACATAAATATCAGCTACAAAGGTGGCTCTTAATATGAAGCATCATCGGAAAAAGAGCTAAAGAACGTTCTTTGGCCAGCTCTCGCTAGAATGTATTCATGATTTAGATTCAAATGCAGGCAAGTGTGACGACAGAGTTTGGTGATACTACAAACATTTACCACGTGGCTGGCAGTGAGGAGGAAGCTTAGGACCACAGGGTACTGATGGTTTGATGAGTTGGGCAGAGAAGTGGAAAACGAAACCCAATCTTGCGGGAAGTTTTGGGAAACTAAACAAGGAATATACAAAATACAATAACGAGCAGTGTGGAGGATCGGAGGGACCTTGAACTCTCTGGCCCCCAAAGCCTCACGGGTAGTAGGGCAGTTTGATAAAAGGTGGCTAAGATGGCATAGGATATGTTTTCCTTTATTAGCCAAGATTGTTAACATTATGATAGAACATTGGTCAGCTTGTACCCAGTTTGAGGCTTTCATTGGAAGCAAGATGGGACTGCACTGGAGAGGGTGCACAAGAGCTCGTCATAATCATAGAATCCCTACAATGTGGGAGCAGGCCATTCGGCCCATTGACTGTCCAAAGGGCATCCCACCCAGGCCCACACCCCCCACCCTATCCTTGTAACTCTGCATTCCCCATGGCTAACCCATCTAGCCTGCACATCCTGAACACTATGTGCAATTTAGCATGGCCAACACATCTTTGGACTGTAGGAGGAAACCTACAGTGACACAGGGAGAACGTGCAAACTCCACACAGACAGTTGCCCAAGGGTGGAATCGAACCCATGACCCTGGTGCTGTGAGGCAGCAGCGCTAACCGCTGAGCTACTATGTCACCCAGAATTAGACAAACAATGACCCATGGATGAAAGATTGATTCAACTGCTGTCGCTGCATCTCAAAAAGAACAAGCTGAACCGTGATACATTTTAAGTTGTTTCAAACTAGAAGGGGGCTAGATAGAGAGAATACAATGGCTCATTGACCTCAGCAGAGTGGTCAAAAACTGGGGGAAGTCGATTTAAAGTGTTTGCAAGTAGGACCAGAGGGGAAATGAGGAAATGTTTTCAGTCAGAACCTGGAATTCGCTGTCTGAAAGGGTGGTACAGGCAAAAACTGTACTACTTCTAAACAAAAGAATTGTTTATTTCTACTTGGGGACACGCGATCCCATCAGGATGCATCTTGGCTCAGTATGGCAACTGTTTTGCCCAGGACTGTAAGAAACTACAGAGAGTTGTGAACACAGCCCAGTCCATCACGGAGCGAACCGCCCATCCATTGACTCCATCTACTCTTCTCACTGCCTCAGGAAGGCAGGCAATATCATCTAAGACTTCCCACCCCGGTTATAATCTCTTCCAATCTCTTCCGTTGGGCACAAGATACAAAAGCTTAAAAACAGGTACCAACAGGTTCGAGAACAGCTTCTTCCCACTGTTAATAGACTTCTGAATGGACTTCTCAAAATTTAAATTTAACATTGATCTCACTCATTGTGCACCTTCTCTGCAGCTGTAACATTGTATTCCTCACTCTGTTCTATTACCCTAATGCACACTGTATGGTATGACTTCCTCTACTGCACGCAAAATAGAACTCTTCACTGTACCGCGGTACATGTGACAATAAAATAATCAAATCTAATCAAAAAAATCTTTCTATGATCTCTTCAATTTCTAAAATAAAGTCCACTGTGGCCTTTGTGTATTAGCATATTGTGAAATGAATTCTTTGAAAGTCTTCACTTGCCTTGGGCAAATTTTTTTAAGCTACTCAAACCCCATTGGCTTGCACAGTTAAAATTTAGCCCTAATTTACTCGGCTAAGCAAAATAATGCTCCTATCCTGCACCACTGCTGATCAACGTGTAAGTAAAATAATATTTAAAGGTTAATGTTCTACATTTGACCTTAGTGGTAAACTGTCTCACACTTACTGCTAATAATGGACTGAATCATTCCATCTCCCTGATATTACAAAGTGACCTTCGGGTACAATTACCAGCCTGTCTAGATTCAATGGTGCTCCCAGAGTTTTGAGAGAAGGGCTGTGCTTGAGAAAGCTTCAATTTGGAAAGCTAAGGCTCCAGGGCACTTGCCCATTTGCAGTGGTTTGTCAGTCATGAGGTTAATGAGCAATTGTTATCTTGCTTCTAAAATAAGTCAATTTAATAAGATGTGTCTTGCTGACTAATCGTTATGGTTTTGCAAAGACAAAATGTCAGTTACAATTGCAATGATACAAATGCACAGATCATTGATGGTGGCAGGCCTGGTGGAGAGAGTGTAAAACATTATTGGTTTTATTAACAGGGGCATACAGTACAAAAGCAAGAAGATAATATTAAACTTGCACAAAGCACTTGTTAGAGCTCAGCTGGAGTATTGTATACTGGAGTACAGTTCTGGGTGCCCGCATCATTGAAAAGATGTGAACGTATTGGAGACAGTGCAGAAACAATTTACAAGAATGGTTCCAGCAATGAGAAGCTTCATTTCTGAGGATAGGTCGAAGAAATTGGGACTGTTCTCCTTGGAGAGACAGCAGCTGAGGGGACATTTAATAGAGGTCTTCAAAATCATGGGGGGGCTGGATGGAGTAGATAAGGAGAAAATATTCCCGCTTGTAAAAGATAAAAGGAATGAGATGGCATAGATCATGATGATATGCAAACAAAGAAAGAGTAATGTGAGAAAAAAAACCTTTTCACACAGCGAGCGGTTAGGAAAGGGTTTGGAAAGCACTGCTTGGAAATGTGGCAGAGAATGGTTCAAGGGAGATATCCAGGAGAGGCATCGAATGGTTATCTGGATTGGAATAGTTTGCAGGAATATGAGAAAAGGCCAGGGGATTAGCACTTGGGGATAGAACTATTGCAGACATGACGGGCTGAATGGCTTCCTTCTGCAACTCAACAATTCTGTGATGCTGTGTGATTCTGTTTACAGTGAGAATTGTCCACATGTTCAACAGGAATGTCCCTCACTCATGTGCGTGTCTCAGTTTACTGAAATTACTTCATTGGCAACGATTATTGGCTGGGTACCAGTTGCACTTCTGTACGTTGTTGGTGGTGCTTCAGAGCAAGGAAGAGCTGAGAAGTTATGCACACGCCCACTCAAAAGCCAAGCATTACAAACAGAGCAATCAGGAGTCTTTCTTTTTTACCGTAGTCCACAATGGGTTTGTAGCAGGCAAACTGAATCCGCGCATCTTCTGCCAATTCTGGAGAAAATGTTTTCTTCATGCGAGGGCAACGACCTGAGAGTGAGAGTCAGAGTGAGAGACAGAAGGAGAGAGCAAACAGACTCATGGACACAACCCACGGTGTGTTTTGCAATGGATGAATGGGCAAAGGTTACTCTCCAGTCCTTTCAAATTCTGTTTGAGTACATGAAAAGTTCTGACCTAAAATAAACCATTCGCTGCTCCGAATCAAAATGGTGGATTAGTCTCTTGGCTATTGGGTGTTGCGATGATTAAAGAGGCAGTCAGCTCAGGTAGTTGGGCAGTTAGTCTGCAATGCAGGGGGATGCCAAAAGTGTGGGTTTGTTTCCGACACCAGCTGAGGTTACCACACTGTCCTGCTTTCTATACCTTCCCTGTTGCCTGAGGTGCAGTGACCCTTGGGTTAAATCCAGCACCAGTTGTCTCTCTCTGTCTCTAAATTGGAAAGCAGCCCTGTGACCCTCAGCGATTATGGCAAAATTGCACATTGCTGGTTCATTTCCAACAATAAAGAAAGTTTCCCCACATGACAGTGAAAAAGGTGAACAGACATTAGACAGCTTCCACCATAAAAGGGGAAAACGGAGATTTTAGAGATATTGATGGTCTCTCAAATAACATATGCTTTATTTCAATAATGGAAAATCTATAGAGCAAAGTAGTAAGATTATATGTGCGCAGCATTTAGCAGAATCTGCTCCCAGCAGGTAGGGGTTTTACACTTGCAGTTAGTTCTGTAGGTCTGTGGCTGTACTTTCAAGCTGCATTTTCTAAATGCAAAGTGACAAAGTATCCTTTCCCGTTCTGTAGCACACAGAGGGAAATATTTTATTCAGGCTCACAACATGAGCATTAAGAATAGAAAAACAAAAGAAAAAACAACCAAATGCCAATGCTCTAAGCTCTAACTCAAATGCCTGACAAAGTCTGAGCCCTCAGGTAAAATGCACAACCCAACAACAGAAAAGCCAACCCTTATCATTGCTATAACAAGGTGTAGAGCTGGATGAACACAGCAGGCCAAGCAGCATCAGAGGAGTAGGAAAGCTGATGTTTCAGGTCTAGAACCTTCTTCAGAAATGGGGGAGGGGAAGGGGATTCTGAAATAAATAGGGAGAGAGGGGGAGGCGGATAGAAGATGGATGAAGGAGAAGATAGGTGGAGAGGAGACAGACAGGTCAAAGAGGCGGGGATGGAGCCAGTAAAGGTGAGTGTAGGTGGAGAGTTAGGGAGGGGATAGGTCAGTCCAGGGAGGACGGACAGGTCAAGGATTTGGGATGAGTCTGGTAGGTAGGAGATGGGGGTGGGGCTTGAGGTGGGAGGAGGGGATAGGTGGAAGGAAGGACAGTTTAGGGAGGCGGGACAAGTTGGGCTGGTTTTGGGATGCGGTTGGGGGAGGGGAGATTTTGAAGCTTGTGAAATCCACATTGATACCATTGGGCTGCAGGGTTCCCAAGCGAAATATGAGATGCTGTTCCTGCAACCTTCGGGTGGCATTGTTGTGGCACTGCAGGAGGTCCAGGATGGACATGTGAGAGGGGTTGTTGAAATGGTTCACGACTGGGAGGTGTAGACGTTTGTTGCGAACCGAGCGTAGGTGTTCCACAAAGCTGTCCCCAAGCCTCCGCTTGGTTTCCCCGATGTAGAGGAGGCCACATCAGGAACAGCGGATTCAGTATACCACATTAGCAGATATGCATGTGAACATCTGTTTGATGTCCATCCTGGGCCTCCTGCAGTGCCACAACGATGCCACCCGAAGTTTGCAGGAACAGCATCTCATATTTCGCTTGGGAACCCTGCAGCCCAATGGTATCAATGTGGATTTCACAAGCTTCAAAATCTCCCCTCCCCCTACCGCATCCCAAAACCAGTCCAGCTCGTCCCTGCCTCCCTAACCTGTTCTTCCTCCCACCTATCCCCTCCTCCCACCTCAAGCCCCACCCCCATCTCCTACCTACCAGCCTCATCCCGTCTCCTTGACCTGTCCGTCCTCCCTGGACTGACCTATCCCCTCCCTAACTCCCCACCTACACTCACCTTTACTGGCTCCATCCCCGCCTCTTTGACCTGTCTGTCTCCTCTCCACCTATCTTCTCCTTTGTCCATCTTCTATCCGCCTCCCCCTCCCTCCCTATTTATTTCAGGATCCCCTTCCCCTCCCCCATTTCTTAAGAAGGGTCTAGACCCGAAATGTCAGCCTTCCTGCTCCTCTGATGCTGCTGTTTTCATTCAGCTCTACACCTCGTTATATCAGATTCTCCAGCATCGGAAGTTTCTACTATCTCCTTGTCATTGGTTGAGAGTCGAAGTAAAAGCTCAGGTGAATTCACAAGCCTCTACCCCTCCATGCACAATGCTAAAGCTACAAAGAACAGACAATTCTGAGACAGAAGGCCAGAGAATGTATCTTTGGATTTTCCAATATATGTCGCTGGGACCTACCTTCAGCACACTGGCAAACATCGTGTTGGCAGAGCTTCGATACAATGGTGCTTTGTTCTGGAGCATTATAAAATATACTGCATTTTGTACCTGCAAACCAAGCATTCAATCATGAGAAGAGCATGACATGGAATAATGCTATTGCTGTTTCATGCAGAATAATATTATCTGGACATTGTGAGCTTCCATCTTTGCCAATAATAACGTATATGCCCGCATAGAAAGAGAGAAAGACTGGCGTAGGTGCCAGCGGGGAGAGAGAGAGAAAAAGAGAGACACAGACAGATAGAAAGAGAGACAGAGAAAGAAAGAGACAAGAGAGAAAGGTAGGGAAAAAGATGAGAGAGAGAAGGAGAGACGAAAGAGAGAAGGCAGCTGAGGAGAGATTTAATAGAGGTCTTCAAAATCATGAGGGGGCTGGATGGAGTAGATAGGGAGAAAATGTTCCCACTTGTAAAAGACATAAAGAATAAGATGGCACAGATCATAATGATGTGCAAACAATGAAAGGGTGATATGAGAGAAGAGGGAGAGAAAGAGAGACAGAGAGAGCGAAAGAGAAAAACAGAGAGCGAGGGAGAAATGGAGGGAGATAGAGAGAGAGAGAGAGAAAGCGAGTGAAAGAAAGAGAGACAGAGAGAGACAAGAGTGTGAGAGAGAGAAAGAGAAAGAAAGTATGAAATGGGAGACAGAGGGGGAAAAGAGAAAGAGAGAAATGAGAGAGAGAGAGAAAGACAGAGAGAGAGAGAAAAACAGAGGAAGAAAGAAAGTGAGACAGAGAGAAAGTGAGAGAAAGAGAGTGAGGGAGACAGAAAGAAAAAGACAGAATAAAACAGAGAGAACAAGAGAGAAAGAAAGAGAAAGAGAGAGAGAAAGAGAGAGAAAGAAAAGACAGATAAAGAGACAGAGAGAGAGAGTCACCTAACCAGGGAATCGGGTTCGATTCCACCCTCAGGCGACTGTCTGTGTGGAGTTTGCACATTTTCCCAGTGCCTGCGTGGGTTTCCTCCGGGTGCTCCGGTTTCCTCTACAGTCCAAAGATGTGCAGGCAATGCTAAATTACCCATAGTGTTTAGCGATGTGCAGGCTCGGTGGGTTGGCCATGGGAAATGCAGGGTTACAGAAATAAGGAGGGGAATGGGTGGGATGCTCTTCAGAGGGTTGGTGTGGACTTAATGGGCTGAATGGCCTGCTTCCACACTGCAGGTATTCTGCGAATTTCTGCTTCTCAGTCAACGGACTAATCACACTGAAATAGTTTCTTTTTATAACATTGAGGTGACCTGATTCCTGCGTCTTGATGTCAGCTCCTGTAATGAGTAATATGCACTTGGATAACAGGGTAATATTATTCACTCTCACCCACTGTCCATGTGCATTTCAAGTCAGCCTCTTGTAACAACACAGTGTGTAAAAGGGATGCCAGACACTCCCTGAACCACCTCCTTCAGGAAACCTGCAACCCTTCTGCATTAAATCCCAGCAGCTGCTGCATTGCAGTGGAGTCTCTACTCACTTGGATTGTAATAGTCGTAGAGTGTCGCACTTGCCGGCTGTATTAATCCGATGGGAATGATTTGCTTTGCGGCAAACACGATACATTCTCTGTGCTCAGTGACCTGGAGGGTGGGTCAATCACAATTGCATGGTCATAAATAGACACATGTAAAATACACAGAAAACAAACATTGCAAACACACAAGTGAGTAATGCAGGGTCTGTATTTCAGTGCCAGTGTTATGCCAGGAATGTAGCCTTTTTAGCCCAGAGGCCATACCCATTCAGGTGATCGTAGCAAACAGGGCACTGACTACACCCAGCCATCCTGTACAATACTCATAGCAGAGTTTAATGTGATTCTGGGATTTGACAACATTTGGTGAATAGATCTGAAGGTGTCCAGCATTATGTGTACAAGCAATATGGGATTGTCATTTGGGCTCACAGTGAACAGGACCTTTGTGTACATATTGACGATGCTGTCAATTTAAGAAGTTATTTTGTCCTGGTTGCTTTTTGCAGTGAGGTTGTAAGGCAGAGGTAACAAGCTGGCTAGTTAACACCACTTGAGTAAACAGTTTGGGAGGCCTTGGGCTTCTTGCTTTAAACTGCCTGAATGAGTGTGGTCAGCTCTCAAAGGTTAGGATTTCTGGGGTTTGCTATCTCAGGAGTATCAGAACCTATTCGGGTCTCAACAGCGAATGTCTCCTGGCTGCTACTCTCTCTGAATTTTCTCTTGATGTTTTTTCCTCCTGGAGTGGAGAACTGCATGCGAGAATCTGTGTCTGAATTTTCCCTTTTTTTGCCAAAGGGTGTGTTTATGGGATTTTACTATGTTGGAATAGTTAGTTGGTAATAGTTACTGTATTTATTACTCTGTTAATCTTACCAATAGAGTTAAGTTATTCTAAATTCCTTTCTTTTGTTTATATTTTAACTATAGTCAGAGGGTCGTAACAACATAGAGATGTACAGCATGGAAATAGACCCTTCTGTCCAATTCGGCCATCCTGACCAGATATCCTAAATTAATCTAGTCCCATTTGCCAGCATTTGGCCCATATCCTCTAAACCCTTCCTATTCATGTACCCATCCAGATGTCTTTTAAATGTTGCAATTGTACCATCCTCCACCACTTCCACTGGCAGCACATTCCATACACGCACCACCCTCTGCATGATAAAATTGCTCCTTGGGTCCCTTTTAAATCTTTCCCCTCTCAACTTAAACATATGCCTTCTAGTTTTGGATTCCCCCACCCTGGTGAAAAGACCTTGGCCATTCATCCTACCTACGCTCTTGATGATTTTATAAACCTCTATATGGTCACTTCTCAGCCTCTGACACTCCAGGGAAAACAGCCCCAGTCTAAGTATGTTTAAATTAACTGTGTTTTGCCTAACATTGAGTAGTGTGACCAGTGGCATTGCCTCCGGAACAGGCACTTTATAAAATAAGAAAAATTTAGGGTCTAGGCTGCCTTTTTAAAACATGTTGAAGGAGTCTGGTCTGTCCATAACAACACACAAGGGCATGTTATGGCAAACATGCAGACACACTGCCACAGTTTCTACTCAATGCAAGAGGTGACAGGCATTCACTGGGCCATTTTGCAGGTCAATGCCTTGACCAATGGCAGCCAACCCACTTGGCTTAAAATTTAAACAGAGCTTGGCAGTTATCTATCAGTCATCATTATCTGGTAGATTCTCCATGGCATCACCTCTATGAATCAGAGTCCACTTGATGACCAATCAGCAATTTCCTTTTAGTGTATAACCAATGTTTTTCTTTTACTTGGCATTTCTTGTGAATTTCTCTGAAGAGTGCAAAATAGAAGCTTTGATGAAATGACTTTTTTCCAGTAATGCTTAAATAAATCAGGATATAACACAAAATTATTAAAGTTGTTGCAAAAATAGGGAATAATTCCTGAACAATGCTGCACACTGTTGTTTATTATTAGCTTTCTAATGCATAAAATTGGAACTGATACAGTTTGTACAGAGCAAATATTTCTTCCTTCTGAAATTAGAATGTGACACAAAGTGGTCTTGAGGAACTGCAATTGCTTTCCTATTTTCAGACCCTTGAGCAGATGAGTGGGATTTTTGTTTTTCCACAATGACCATCCAGAGATCCATAGAATCCCTACAGTGTGGAAGCAGGCCATTTGGCCCATTGAGTCCAATCAGCCCTCTGAAGGGCATCCCACCCAGACCCAGTGCCCTATACTATTCTTACAATGCTGCATTTTCCATGGCTAACCCACCTAATCTACACATCCCTAGACACTATATGCAGTTTAGCATGGACCAATCCACCTAGCCTGTACATCTTTGGGCTGTGGGAGGAAACTGGAGCACCTGGAGGAAACCGGAGCACCTGGAGAAAACCCACACAGATACAGGGAGGATGTGCAAACTCCACACAGTTGCCTGAGGGTGGAATTGAACTTGGGTCCCTGGTGCTATGAGGCAGCAGTGCTAACCACTGAGCCACCGTACCACCCCATGAAACTTAGCGAGTATGTCTAGCCTGTGTCTGAGCACAGGCTTACCCCTAGCTTCTCAAGCCCAATGGTTTGACAGGACTCTACCTCAGCTAAATTCAAGACTTGTGATACTGCAGCAGGAGAGAAGGGGACAAACACCATGGGTGGTACGGTGGCTCAGTGGTTGGCACTGCTGCCTCACACTGCCAGCGACTCGGGTTTGATTCCAGTCTTATGTGACTGTCTGTGTGGAGTTTGCACATTGTCCCTGTATGGGTTTCCTCCCACAGCCCAAAGATGTGTAGCCGAGGTGGAATGACCATGCTCAATTTTGCGATAGTGTCCAGGGATGTGCAGGCTAGGCGGGTTAGACATAGTAAACAGGGTAATAGGATGGGCAGGCTGGGATTGGTTGAGGTGGCCTTTGGAGGGTCAGTACAGACACAATGGGTTAAATGGTCTCGATACACCGTAGGAATTCTATGACGCACATAATAAAATCCAAAAACATGCATACAGTACCATTACCTTATCAAGATAGAGCAGCACTCTCCCATTCTTGAACTCATATTGATTGATGTACCGATCTACAAGTTTTTTTAACTGGAAGATAAACATATTTTCAATTAGCGTCACATTGATCTCATCTATTCTTTCCTGAAGGCTGAAATATATACTCAAGATGCCCTGATTCACAGTTAAGAATCCACAGTGTTACAATCTTCTTTATATAAGTCCATAAGACATGAGAGAAAAAAGTAGATAAAGGTTATGGCAGTGAAGTATGAATTGGCTCATTAAGACCATAGATATAGCAGCAGAAGTAGGCCCTTCAGCCCATCGAATATGCTCTGCCATTCAATGAGATTGCGTCAAATCTGACAATCCCCAACTCCATTTTTCTGTTTTTTTTCTTCCTCCCACAGCCTTGATTCCCTCACTTACTAAAAGTCTGTCTATCCCAACTATAAATATACTTAGGATGGCAGGTGGCTCAGTGGTTAGCACTGCTGCCTCATAGTGCCAGGGACACGGGTTCAGTTCCAGCCTCAGGCAACTGTCTGTGTGGAGTTTGCATGTTCTCCCCATGTCTGTATGGGTTTCCTCCCACAGTCCAAAGATATGCAGGTTAGGGTGGATTGGCCATGCTAAATTGCCCCACGGTGTCCAGGGATGTGTAGGTTGGGTGGATGAGCCATGGGAAATGCAGGGTTACAGGGATAGGGTAGGGGTGTGGGTTTGGATGGGATGCTGTTTGGAGGGTTGGTGTGGATTCAAGAGGCTGAATGGCCTGTTTCCACACTGTAGAGATTCTATGATTTGACAACCCTCTGTGGTCAAGAATTCCACAGGTTCACCACCCTCAGAGAGAAGAAATTCCTTCTCATCTCTGCCTTAAATGGGTAACGTCTTATGCTGAGATTATGCCACCTTGTCCCTAGACTTTTCTGCCAAACTCCATAGGAATCTCACATACTTCAATGAGGTCACCTCTCATTCTTCTAAACTCTCGTAAGTACAGGCCCAATCTACTCAACCTCTCCTCTTAAGAAAATCAGGTTGGGTTGGGTTCAACCTAGTGAGCCTTTGCTGGACTGCCTCCAATATTTTTCCTTAGGAAAGGTAAACAGCTTATAGGTATTCTTGCTGTGGTCTGACTAGCACCTTGCATAGTTTCAGCATGAATTCCTGATTTTTGTACTTTGAAATAAAAGCCAACATTCCATTCCCTATCATTGGCTGAATATGGCTGCTAGTATTTCGTGATTCATTCACGAGGAGCTCAATTCCCAGTTTTTAGCAGTCTTTCCCCTTTTAAATAATATTCCAATCTTCTATTCTTCTGGCCAAAGAGCAGGATACCTCCGAATGTACTATTCATGTGTTGGAAGGATATTGATCTGAATCCACAATGCCATCGGTTTGAGTGGACACAAGCCTCTCAGTTTAGATGTGATGGTGGGGAAACAAATAGAGACAATAATTAGGGATAAAATCAATATTCATATTGACAAATGTGGGATAATTAAAAGAGCACCATGGATTATGGTGCATGGATTCCTCAAGGGAAAATCAAAAGGTAGTGAACTTGCTGCAGATTTTTCAAGAGGTGGTAGACACAGTTACAATCAAATTTACTGACTGAGCCTGATTACTCTATCTTCCTGTCTACTCCTGATAACCATCCACCCCTTCGCTTATCAAGAATCGATCGCTGCCAGCCGGAAACATATTGAAGGATTCTGTTCCCAGCATATTTTCTGGAAGACAGGTCCAAAGGCTCCAAGGGAAAAACATTTTGCTCCACTTTTAATGGGTGACCCTGATTTTTAAACAATCCTAGTTTCTTCCGGAAGGGAAAACATCCTCTCCATATCCACACTGTCAAGATCCCTTGGGATATCATAAGCATTAAATCAAGCCAGATCTTACTCTTTTAAACTCCAGCAGATAATAAGCCTAGCCTGTACAATCTTTCCTCATGGAACAACCCTCTCAATTTATTTGTCATTTATGCCTAGATGAGGCCGTTACTAGCTGTATTTATTGCCCATCCCTAATTGCCCAGGGGCAGTTAAAAGTCAACCACAATTGTCGTGGGTCTGGAATCACATGTCGGTCAGACCAGGTAAGGAGGGCAGTTTCCTTCCTCGAAGGACATTAGTGAACCAGATGGGTTGAATAAAGGGGAAAAAAGCATCTGCAGTTCTTACTATCTCTGAATATATTCTGTTGACTTTTTTCATTTAATGGATTTCTCATGGAAGAGTATTGATGGCACTAAGCCTTGCAAAGCTCAAAGCATTTTTTTTTTGTTTTAACCTGGTGTGTGCTGATGGTGGTATTCCGAGCAGAAACTTTACATTTCGGGACCCAGATCCCTGATTGTTCACGCTGGCTGATGGGCGCTTGCACGTTTTTCAGGAAGAAAGCGGGGATGCAGAAAGTCTCAAAATAAGCACATAGCCCCGGCTAGGAAAGATGGTCTGACCTTATTCAAATCGGCAGCTTTAGGTTCGAATCCACTGAGTAGCGAAATGTCCACAATGGCCATTCCAGAGGCCCTCTGGGTCTTGTCCGGCATATGCCTTTGTGAAACAAACGAGCACATTTCGAATCAATTTGTTGACAATGTGCGCTGGTTGTTGCATTGTGAGATCCAATGTGCTCCCCCCCAACACCCCACCCCTTGCTGGTGTCGTGGGCACAGAGAAGAATGTATATACAAAGCTGAACGTAGAAATGAGACCCATAACCATGCAGTCACTCAGCAATCAGTTCTAAATCGAGCCCCAGAACAGCACGAGGGGACGGCCGGAGACCAGCGCAGTGGAGAGGCAGTCCTGGAACTTACCTTGGAGCGGCTGGGCACCGGTAAGGAGCAGACTGGAAGCTTGGAGTGGAGCAGGGAGTCTGGCCCAGGCAGTTAGACCATGTGCTGAGGCCCTGCACTGAGCTGCTACAATGTAAAGTTTATTTGAAATCTTTTTCACCCTGCTGTAATTTTCAATCCTTTAATGATGTCTTCTTTCTAAATGTTTTTAAGAAACTCTGTAAAGTAATGTAAGTACTTTTTTATTCTTCTGTTGTATCTGAGATTTGTACCCAGATACTTCTAACTAAGCTGGCACCATAACAGGCAGCCATTGTAAAAGCTTTTCACTGTACTTCTACAATAGAGTACACATGACAATAAAGGACGTTCTATTCTAAATCCTGGGCAAATGGTCGTGGCTCTGAGATTTCCACTGGAGTCGCATGTGCAACACTGTTTGCTAATTCTGCAGTTTATTTCAATGAACAGCAAGATTAAGCTCAATGCTTTTAACAATCATTTATGAGATCAATTGTGAATGCAACTATTAAATGGAGTGACAAAATACATAAAGCATGACGTCTCGTTGTTAATGTCATATTGTTAAAAAAAAAACACTTTTTAACCATCCTATTTCAATTCACTGTCAGAGTGCAATTGCTTTTTAGTGCGGCACAGAACACATTATGCTCTGTGCTGTATGACTCACTCACCATGCACAAACTTCATAATATATTGTTCTGTCTTCCTCAGGATCTGGGGCCTGTCTCCTTGCCCGGGATCGAAGGTCAAACCAGTCGATTTCGCTCAGGGGTTGATCGGCTGGCACGAGCTCGTCATAATCTTCGTAGTTGTATTCTGGAGCTTTTGCGAAAATGGTAAAACTCTTATGAAATCAGAGAAATAACTCAACAGAGAAGAGTTGCTTTTGTAAATCTATCCGCTCTCCTGCTCTTTCCAATAAATCCTTTCAAGATCTTTCCGTCAATGAGTTCCCACTGAAAGTGAAGTAAAAACTGAAAGAACTGCGGATGTTGTAAATTAGGAACAAAAACAGAAGTTGCTGGAAAAGTTCAGCAGCTTTGGCAGCATCTGTGAAGAAAAAAATCAGAGTTAACGTTTCGGGTC